CTATTATTGATCTGTTTCAATTCAACTTCTTTAAGCTCCTAAGTGAGCTCTCACCTTGTTTAGGCCACTCTTGAGCTACCTAATCCAAACTTTCAATAGTGTGCATCACTCTAACACTATTAGCCAAGCTAGCCTTAGGCCAATATACTAATCTTAGCCCCCTTATAGTAAGGCCACATGAAAAACAAAAGACCTATTCTACTTCTAGCTAAGTGCATCTCAACTTTAAGTGGCACTTAGAACTACAAAAAAATCCTTAGCCTTTGTGAATATCATTTGCATCCAATTCTTAGAATCTGGTAACTACGGCCAAGAAAAACATTGTGTTATGGGAACCGATAACTAGAGGAGAGTTTCGACTGGGAATAGCAGGAATTTGGGTAGAATAGCAAGAACAGAGTCTGAGGTGGGAAGAACACGGCTGGAATCCGTGGGCGAGGATGGCGATGAAGGCCGTTTGCACTTAGAAAATGATTCATTCTTTCTTTAGCAGACGCCACGCCACGCCACCACCTTATATCCTCTCTAGAAATGGCAATAGGTCTTGACTTAGCCCACCACTCTACTAGTGCTAGCCCAAGGCCCATTACATGACACACTCCTACCCTTGATCAACAGCTTGTCCTCAAGCTGTGAAACCAGGAAATTTTTGCGCCATCTGTTGCTTATCTTCCCAGGTCGCCATGGACTGAGGTAGGCCAGACCACTAAATGAGCATCTGAGGTACTGCTTTTGCCCCCCGCAGGATGACGCGATGACTGAGTACCTATTCAGGACTGAAGCTCTGCATAGGATCAGTACATACTGATGCCAAATCAGCATTGACAGGTACTGCTAGAGGAACTTGTTTCTACCAGATGAATATTTGCGTCGGGTGGTAAGTCCAGCTTATAGGCCACTTTCCCAATAAACTATAAGATCCGGTAAGGATCATAATACCTGAATGAAAGCTTCTGATTCGTTCGAGTTGCCACTGTTGATTGAACATATGGCTGCAAATGAAGGAACACCGAGTCTCCCACTTGAAACTCCCTTTCTGTACGATTCTTATCAGCTTGGCTTTTCATCCGATGCTGGGCTCAAGTTAAATGTTGCTTGATCAATTGAGATAGCGTCTCCCTATCCTTGAGCCACTGTTCTAAATCCGGTACAGTGTATAACTGAAGATTGGCAATGCCGAGTTGCCGTGGTGAATAGTCATACAGGACCTCAAATGGAGACTTTCCCAATGCTATATGAAAGCATGTGTTGTAACAGAATTTGGCCACCGAGAGCCACTTGCTCCACTATCGAGGGCATGAATGAACAATGCATCTCAGAAACCCCTCCACACACTGATTCAGTCGCTCAGTTTGCCCGTCTGTTTGTGGGTGATACGAAGAGCTCATCAGAAGCTTAGTGTCAGATAGCCGAAACAGCTGTTGCCACACAACACTAGTAAAAACTATATCTCTATCTGAAATAATTGCCTTTGGAAGCCCATGTAACTTGTATACTTGATTCATATAAATCTGAGCAATGTGCAAAGCTGTAAATGGGTGAGTAATGGGGATAAAGTGGGCATACTTTGTGAATTTATCAATCACCACAAGCATTGCATTGTATCTTTCAGATTGGGGCAGGCCTTCGATGAAATCCAAACTCACAGTCTCCCAAGCTTGAGAAGGAATAGGAAGTGGCTCAAGAAGACCTAGAGACTTGATCCTTTTTGTTTTTGCATGTTGACATATTTGACACTGCTTAACAAACTCTTCTATAGACTGCTTGAGTGCTGGCCATGCAAATAATTGTTTGACTCGATTATATGTGGCTGAGATTCCAGAATTACCTCTCAGCCTACTATCATGGAGTGCTATCAAAATAAGTTGTTGTGCCACAGTGTTATTGCCAACCCACAAAAGACCTTTAAATCTGATGACACCATTTTTAAGAGAATAACCTTGTTGGTTTTCTAGTGTAACTGCTATGTCAGAAGTTTTGGAGCAGTCTCATCATAACTATATCCTTCCTGAAGCCTTTGAATCCAACTAGGTATACACTCAGAGATGGCATTGACTAAGTTTGGCCATTCACATCTTGATAGGGCATCTGTTGCATTATTATTAATGACCTTTTTGTACTGAATGCAGTACTGGAGGTCCATGAGTCTCATGAGGGCTTTATGCTGCAGTCTAGTGGACACTCTCTATTCAGTTAGATGTTGTAAGCTCTGATGATCTGTTCTGATGATGAATGTTTGATGCTGAATATAAGATCTCCACTTCTCAATTGCCAAAAGAATAGCAAGGCACTCTTTCTCATAAACAGACAAAGCTCTATTTCTAGGCCCCAATGCTTTGCTCAGATAGGCTATTGGGTGTTGCTCTTGCATTAACACAGCTCCCACTCCATAGTCACTAGCATCAGTCTTAATGATGAACTGTTTGCTAAAGTCAGGTACTGCTAGTACTAGTGCCTCACTCAGAGCCTTCTTTAATAACTGAAAAGCTTCACTACACCATGACACACATTTGCCTACACTTATGTGTTGGCAAAAGGCAGGTTTGGACGACATATTATGTGTTGGCAATTGTATATCATTTTAATGTCTAATTATCTATCGGCAATAAGATTGTAAGACTACAAATTATCTATCGGAGTTTCTCTGCTGGCAGAAAAAGTGTTGGCAAAAATTAGAAGACTTAGAAAGTGTCATCGTAGCCTGTACAGGGCAACTGTGCAAGTGTCGGCCAAGGAGTACCCGCGCTGGGTAAAAATATCTCATCCCCTCCTCTCTCTCTCTCTCTCTCTCTCTCTCTCTCTCTCTCTCTCCCTTCCGTCTCTTCCTTTCCCATAGCGCTCTCTCTCCTCCCCCCAGCTCTCCCGGCGCGCCACGGTGGTGCCACCACACTCTCGGCGGCCCGCTCCCTCGACGCGGCGGTGGCTGCCTCCTCCTCCTCCTCCTCCTCCTTCTCCTCGCCTCCTCCGCCTTGTGTTGCAGCGGCCGACGGCGCCCCGTCGGGTGTTATACTGTTGGCGGAGGGTGGCTTCCCGACCACGGTGCGGACAGTGCCCCCTCCTCGTCGACGTTGTCAGGGGCCCCGCCGGTGGCTGCCGGCCTGCAGGTGCCACCAGCGCCGCCTCCTTCCACCGACCACTTTGTGCTCTCGTGGTCGACGAAACCCTAGTGCCTCATCTCAATGACGCCAGATGCATCATAAGCCACGACGCCAGTGCAGCCCGGCCGACCAAGCCTGTGCGTGGCCTCGTCATCGCCGGCGCGGCGGTGGCGGCGCTTACCTTGCCCATTGCTGAATCAAGCGATCGTCACCCTCTTCCTCTCCTCCTCGGTCTCCTAACTCCTCCCCAAATCCTCTCTCCCTCCACCTTTTCCCATTTGTGCAGGTGATTGGGCGGCGTTGGCTAGCACAGCTACTCTCTCAGAGTAGAAGTGGGGATGAGAGGGCGCTGCAAAAGGAAAGGGATAAATGGTGAGACTATTTTCCACCCTTCCACTTCCATTATATTGTGTAATTCAATTATGCCCCTAATGTTGAACCATGTTGAACATATGTGCACTCCATTTTGCTGCAATGTAGAATCTAGATTGCCTGAAATGTTATGTTGGTAATTCCAATTCCTCTGCAATTTTTTTAGAGACCTGATTTACTGTGTATGTGCCGTCTTCGCATGTCCATCTGGATCCAAATTAACTTGGCTACAAATGAAGGATGGAGAGAGTTAGCTTTCCCTTTAATATAATGTTTATTTACCCTTGTGTTATGCATCATGTTTTCCACACCAAAACTGAGTTACTTATCGTTTAGCGTTTCATCCTCATAGTCAAATTTGAATATATTTGTGTTTGCTACAGATGGATCGATTGATTCACAGGCTAAAATAATAAATGGTTCATCCTATCATCAAAACGAACTTGCTCTGAGCAGTCAACCTACAGGGTATTCAGGCCCAAACCTTCCAGAGGTATGCAATAAAATTGCAATTGTGGAAGACTTATGCTGGATTCTTCTTATCATTATCATTGCTTTAACTTCCAAATTAGTGCTGAACATGAATTTATGAAATGATCTATGAAGTGCCAGTCCCTTGGGGTCCTACTGGATTAGTAGCTCTCCCTTTTTTTAATTTCAAACATGAATTTACTGAAACTATTAAACTCTTGGCTGTGAATCTTAGATCCCTTTATCTTCTTAAGAAGTTGACCTTTGGAGTTCCTGATTCTGCTTCTTTGGCTTTGGTTGTTGTTCTATAATAATTTCACTATCATGCAGTATATGTTTGCTAGAGTCCTCAATGTCCTGGCTTGTTGCTAGCCCATTCCACTGCATTTGCCAAATTGGTCCCATATATCATTATGTATGAAAGTGTACCTTGATACTATGTAGGATAAATTAACAATCTAGTAGTAATTGTATTATGCGCAGCTCTTGCTACTGTCCTGAGTCTGATTGCTGATGCTGTATCGTATCACCCCTAAATGACTAAAGAGTAAAGATCAAAGCTTAATACATACTATTAAGCATACGGTCACCTTGTGGTTTTCCACTTATTGCATCTTTCACTTATTGCATCTTTCTCCAGCATGAAAGGGTAGAAGTAGGGGACCCAAATGAAGAGGATGATATTACTAAAGGCGCCACCCTCTCCTCGCCCCCAGGCGCTACTACCCCGCTCCACGGTCCAAGGGTAAGCGCGCCTAAATGGAGGACTGTAGTGCATATATCATACCTCCATGGTATGGTTAATCCTTCCCAGTTTAAAGAAACATCCTTGATTGACCAGAGGTATTTCTTTCCACCAAAGCATTTAGATCTTATGGGAGGAACACATGCAGAATGAATTTAGAGTTTCACATGGGAGGAGAAGAATTGAGTTTAGTTTATGGTTTAGTGAAATATACATAATATTGTTTTAGCTTATTTGCAGCTTTGTTGAGACAAATATTCATCTTCCATGTTGCTGTGAATCAAACTGACTTTAACCTTTTCTGTTATAGAAAGATGGCATCCCCTATTGTTGGATACCCTCGCATGGGCCCCAAGAGGGAGCTCAAGTTTGCCTTGGAGTCTTTCTGGGATGGGAAGAGCAGCGCCGAGGATTTGGAGAAAGTTGCCACTGACCTCAGGTCTAGAATCTGGAAGCAAATGTCAGAAGCTGGGATCAAGTACATTCCCAGCAACACCTTCTCGTACTACGACCGGGTCCTTGATACCACGGCCATGCTTGGCACTGTCCTAGAGCGCTTCTCTTGGACTGGAGGCGAGATTGGCTTGAGCACCTACTTCTCAATGGCCAAGGGAAATGCCAGTGTCCCTGCTATGGAGATGACCAAGTGGTTTGACACAAACTAGTAAGTAAACTTCTGTCTCTTGAATGCTTACTGTTGGTGGCTTTTTTGTGGTATTGGTCTAACATTTTTTATTACCTTATTCTTTGCAGCCACTTTATTGTCCCTAAGCTTGGCCCAAGCACCAAGTTCACATACGCTTCACACAAGGCTGTCTCTGAGTACAAGGAGGCAAAGGCGGTATGTTGGCTGTAACAACAGATACTCTCAGCTGTTTGTAATTTAGTTCATTTACCCTTCTCATCATAATTTGTTTGTGTGCACGGTTTAGTAACAGGAAAAAATGTAGCAACCGATATTTATGTCTCCCAGCTATTTGATTATGATTTGATAAATATTGTTTGCTTAGAACACGCTTCCTTTTGATAAAAGAACTTTATCTCTACTGAACCTATGGCTTATTTGAATCCTTGACTGGTTTAATGCCTTCAAGACATTCCATAACATTGAAGTAAACTATAAGGTCATGACGACATGCATCTTTGCACAGACATGTACAGAATATGGCTAACAATTCAGAAAGATGCATGTGTGTATGTACATAGTGTGTATACATTATTTTCCTGCATATGAAACAAGCACAGTAGGGCTAGCTTTTGGAGTGGTAGTGGAGATACTGTTGAAGTGTTAATAATTTGATATTTGTGCCTAAAATGATATATGAGATCATTGACTAAACTATGTATTTGACATGCATTCAATCATTCTTATACCTGAATTTCAGGATGCAGCCTATGCCTGCCAATAGGTTAGGTGCCTAGAAAAAGTTCACCGTTAGTGTTACTAAAACTAAAGCTCTTTTGGTTGCTATCTCTCCTGTTTTAGAGAATTCAGCGCATACTAGCTAAATAAGTATGCTATGTGGATCTACTGTTGCCCAACCTTGAGAAGTGTTATGTGGAAAGGTTGCCATAGTTCACCTTTCACCTACATCTCTTGTCTAGTTTAGACTTTCATCCATCTTTTGCCTATATTCTTTGCTATAAAATTCAGCAAGTTGAATGAGTGATAATTTTTTCAGGGGTGATCTAAGAATCTTTGGAGGAAATGTGATGCACCAGCACCAACAATGATTGAATTTGAGGGTTTATCTAAGGAGCTGTTTGCCAATGATCTGTTTGTCATGCACCATCAAAACATTGATTGGATTTGAGGAACAACGAACCCACGAAATAGTAGTAAGTATCCACTTTCTATATTGACACTTTGGAGTTGCGGTTGTGTGTTAGGACATTGACTTCGTATATATGTACATTTAGTAGGTTGTACCCTACATTCTTATTACAGTGAAAATCAAAGAATTATATTTGGTGCAGATATCATCTGTTTATTAAGACTGTTATAAGATATTTACTAGAATGGACTCAATTTTTTTCATAGTCATATCTGTGTGATAATTGTGTGAATTTATGGTGAAACTGAAATAGTGAATCAACTAGTCAAGCCCTTAGCTAATCATTGAATGTTTAGTTTTGTCCCTTTTGCTTGATTTGCAAGTGCAGCATGTGTTCTGTTCTTGCATGGTAGTGTTACAGAATCTTCTGTAGTAGTGTGCAACTATTCATTTTAATCTTACTATTTTCTAGCTCAACCTACTTAATGCTGACAGATGCTCTTTGCTTATTTTTCCCAAAGCCTTATTCTACTTCATTCTGATAAATATGGTTCTCATGCTCCTGCTCGAATATGAGCTACAATCCTTTGAAAAAAGCATGTTTTAATCTCCTTAATATATCTCATTTGTGTGTTCTCCCTCACCATCCGATCTGGGGTGTCGGCTCCTCCTTCCGTAGGCTTGGATTCTCCACCATCGGCGACCGACCCAGGTACGGACAATTCCTCCCATGTTCTTGAACGAGGAACGATTCTAGCTGCGTGTTCTTGATCCTTTCCTGTCGGTTTGAGCGTGCTGCTGTGGCGGCCGTGACCAGCACCGGAGATCTTGGCGGCTGTGATCTTGGAACGAATCCAACTCCAAGGTGAGATATTCGATCTGCCGTCAAATACGCCCTCTTTAGTATGTAGTTTTGCTCCAACAGATGTGCACTCTCTATTAGATGTGCTTTGTGTTTTGCAAATGTCTATTTGTAGGAATTACGCTGAAGATTGAATGCAGAATGGATTTTTTGAAATATTGCCGATGCTATATAACATGGTATGCCAGTGGAGGGTCCAAAAGTCAAACCTTTTTTCAGAATTTGTTGGGATCTGGATAGTTGATTTTATATGAAGTTTTTCATTAGTTTATCTCGCTATGTACATGTAGTAATTGGACATATTGCAGTTTTCAGAATTTGTAGATGGTTCTCAGTTTCCTCTGGTTCTAAATATTTTGATTATTTTGGAATTTTGCATACTATGCATTTCATATTAGGAGAAAATAGTGTTGGGTTATTCCTCAGGAATGCTAAAAATACTCTTGTTTTCCGTGTGGATGTGTTGGAAGCTGAACTAATTTCTATGAAGAAGGTACTCTTGTTTTCTTAAAGAAAAAAAGTAGCTGTAAGCTGATTACCAGGTTGACCCTAGTTTGGTATCTTAAAATTTAAGTATATGTTATAGCTTCATTGTGAGGTAATAATATTTTTCTCAGCCATGTTAGTTACATCCAAGAATTTGGGTGTTCACTAAATTTCTTGATAATTTTGTTGTATCAGAACCAGACATGAAATCCTAGATTGATACATGGAGTTCATGAAACAATTAATAGAAAATGTTATTTTTCATGTACTAACATTTGTTGCTCTCGTGAGTAGGTCTTGTATTAGACATTGATTCGGCAAGATGAGCTGCTTGCATATATTGACCAACAACAGACAGCCAAATTTTGTGTAAGTAAACGGCCGTTCGTATAGTTTGTCTTTTCCTTTCAAGAGCATACCATTTTAATGCTTCCCTCTTCTAGTCAATGGTACCAAGTACGCAATCTCATATTTGTCCATCCATCATTTGCAGCGGCAGAAGTTCTTCTTCTAAGGGCCTGTTTGGAGGGGCTCTGGCAATACAGCTCCGAGCACTTTTAGAATAGAGTATTGTGGTGGAGCCAGCGGACCCTTAGAATCTTGGCTCCTCCTCCTTTTGCAGTTGTATTTTGTTGAAGCTTTGAGCCGCCAGCTCAGCATTCTGATCAAAGACAAAGGTCTTTGTCTGAGGTGTGCTGGCAGGAGCTGGAGCCGGTGAGAGCGGGTGCCAAACAACCTCAAAGTACTGGAGTACCTGCCACCTATTTTCTTCTCTTTGGAGATGGCATGCTGCTATTGTGGACGCAGTATACTTGCAAATATCTTGGTTTTTTTTTCAAATATCTTCGTATTTTGTTGCAGTGTAAAGAATTACAATTTTGAGAAATAGATAGGATTGACGAGCATGGTGTATGTATGGAAGATCTAATATATTATTTATACAAAAATCAAGTGAATTTCTTCAAAGTGATGCCTTCTATATGAACAAAAGTGGATTTATCAAATTATTTTAATTGTAATTATATCTATGCAGTTTTTCCAATAAATTTTTTTGGTAGGGTATGGTTTGTAAAATACCTTGGAAATGGTTTGGCCAACATACAAACTGTCGGGAAAGGTCTTAACTGTCGGCATAGGTCTTAACTGTCGGCAAAGGGTTAACTGTCGGTAAAGGTTTCAACTATCGGCGTAGGTAGACCGTTTACCTACACATAAAGTGTCGAGGATTCTGCTATCTGTCGGCAAAAGTTTCACCGATGGCTTCTAGCGCGACTGTTTCTAAACTGTCGGCAAAACTTTTCGCGGAAGGTTATCTGTCGGCAAAGGTGACCTTTGCCTATAATAGAAAGTGTCGGCAAAAGTATGTTGTGTTATAGTGCTTCCTTAGCTGATGATGTCCAAATGAAAGGTACATTCTTCTTTAATAACTCAATCAGTGGCATGCGATCATTCCATACTGGTGAATGAATTTTCTATAGTAGCTAGTTAATCCCAAAAAGCCTCTGAGTTGCTTGACTGTGAGTAGGCCAACTGGTCATTGCTTGCACTTTAGCTGGGTCTGTGGCCACACCATCAGCAGAAATCACATGGCCTAAGTTGAAAGCATCTAGGCTCTTGGTTGGATTTCGGTGATTAATGACAATACAAGATTACTGTGACTAACGTGTGTTTTGCAGATACAATTAAGTTAGGTCATGGTAGTGTCAATTGATTGGGCAATCATGGCTGTCATGCCTCTACGATGGAAATCGTTTTGGCTTTCAAAGGATGGACGACAAGGTTAAAGATGGACTAGTTCTAAGTGTCGGTTGGTGTTGAAGAGACACTTAGAGTAGTTTAGGACTTTGTTTTTCCTTTGGCCGTACTATTAATGGGGGTATGGACGGGTAGCTTCACCTAGGTAAGTCTAGTGGGTTAGGTGTGGTGCATACTTGTTAAAACTAGCAATAGGTAGCTCCAAAATAGCCCTAAGATCAATTGGAGCGAACTTCATTCACATATGTTTGCGAGTTGGAAGTGAATGGAGGGTCAAATGCTGCCTGGACGCTTGTTCCAGTGTGACCGGACGCTGGCGCAGAGTCCGATCAGTTCATTTGATCAAGGTGAAGTCATCTGGATGCGACCGGATGCTGAGAGGTGAGTGACCGGACGCTGGGTGCCAGAGTCCGGTCAACTCCAGTAAGGTTCTAGAGAGGGAGAATCCTGACCGGATACGTCCGGTCAGTGCTGACCGGACGCTGGTCAGGTTCCGGCTATTGATTGGACGCTAAGCAACAAAGTGACCGGACGCTGGGGTTCCAGAGTCCGGTCAACATCAGTAAGGTTCCAGATAGCAGTTTTCATGATCGGACGCGTTCGGTCAGTGCTGACCGGACGCTAGCCAGTGTCCGGTCATAACTTAAACTACATAGAGGTGGGTGAACTGACCGGAGCGTCCGGTCACCCCGCAAAGGCATATAACGGTTCATTTTAAATGAGGGGTTATAAATACTTCCTCTATTCACTCAAGGTATTACTTTTGCTCATTCCAACAGCTGAGAAACACCCTTGAGAGTGCTAAAAAGAGCAAGGTCCTAGTGAGGTGATTGAGATTTAAGAGTGCAAGAGAGAGGCCTCATTAGTGAAAGCAAGAGTAGCAAAGTGTGCATCCACCCTTCTCATTAGGCTTGTCGTGGTCAAGTGAGAGTTCGTGCTTGTTACTCTTGGTGATCGCCATCACCTAGACGGTTTGGTGGTGATTGGGAGTTTGGTGATCATTCGGCGGAGCTTGTGGATGACCCAACTCAAGTTGTGAGCGGTTATGGGTGATTCACCGCGATGGAGTGTCAAAGAATCAACCCGTAGAGAGCACTTGATCCTTGTGCGGATCAAGGGGGAGCTACACTCTTGCGCGGGTGCTCCAACGAGGACTAGTGGGGAGTGGCGACTCTCCGATACCTCATCAAAACATCACCGTGTCCCTCCTTCTCTCTTTACTTTAAGCATTTACATTTGAGCAATTCAATTCTTGTCTTTACATACTTAGAATTGCCATGCTAGAGTAGGATTGAAACTTATGGTGCTAAACTTTTGTGCGGTAGAACATTAGAAACACTTTCTAGGCACAAGGGGTGAAGTGGGCTAAGTGTAAGATTTAATTATTGCAAAGATTTTTAGAATTAGCCCAATTCACCTCTCCCCTCTTGGGCATCTTGATCCTTTCACAAGTAATCCATAGAATTCTGGGCAAAAGAGCATTTGGATTTCTTGATCAAGAATTTATTATCTTCTAGAATCTTGAACACTT